TTCGGCATCTATAAGAATAGACCGAACAGCAGCGAGTAGCCTGCCGGGGGTTCAGCTTAGCCGATCCAGATGTTGAATCGGCTGAATCGAACTCCTTCTGCAGTTCGGGTCGGCCGAACATGCCGAGCATGTTCAGCCGACCCGAAGCCACGCAAAGCCACCCAATGTACGGCTGATTTCAGCCGATATATGGCTGAAACCAGCTGATTTTGCAGGAAAATAAAACTTTTAAATATAAGTGAGCAGCATCAATTGTAAGTGATATAATCAGCATTTGAAAAAGCTTAAACCATTTTGACTTTAATGTCTTTGCAAAATAAACGTTGCAACTTTAGTGTCAGCCATGACAAAAAAGCCAGGAATTAAATTAACATGTATTTAATTCTAAAGCCTCAGTATGTATTTATGCACAGAGGGTGGTTTACTATAGGATATGCATTTTCACTTGCATTTATTAACTTATGCTGCTATCACTTCTAATAACCAGGCAAGTTAAAATACAAGAAAATATCAAATTATTTCCACTAACATAATTTGTTGTTTAAGGTAAACACTGGTTGCCTAGGCTGGCATCTTTGTATAAAGAACAAAGCAATATTTTATATAAGAAATCGTATTTTATCTCTGTCACCGTTAAGCAGCACTGCTATACTGTAACATCTATACCTTAATTATTTATTATCCATTTTCTGTCACGAAAAAAATAAAAAAATGTAAAAATAAGATCCAGTAATTACCTCTCCTGTCTTATTTTTTTTCATTGTTTTTAAAGAAATGTTGTTAGCACAACTTCATATGATAAATGATTACTTTTGGCGAAAGAAATCATTTTACAAGCCCCTGATTTTTGCAATCAGTTGCCCCTGAGCAATCTAATGGACTTCACTTCATTATGCAACCACTCATTAAAAGCCTTGTATCTACTAGAATTGTATCTACATAAAGTGATCTATGAGAGTGCTGCATTCGTTTAGCGGACACATCTTTAATTTTACTCATTCGTCTTAATTTTTTGTAATCATTTTCTGTAAAGAGGGTATAGTGTCAGCCTTTGCTTCCATGCTACTGACAGATCCAATCTTGCAGATAATTACCATAAGGAAATTGATGCTTTAGTGTGCAAAGGAGAATTTAATTTACTCAGACATCCCACAGCACAATGCATTCCAAAGGATATCAGGATTTCATTTTTTTCAGAAATTAAATAGTACTATATAACATGATTACTTATTATTGAACATCTTTTACAGCATTTTTGATGTGATCACACAAATACATTTAACAAAAATTGCCAACTTCTTTTTACCTATTTGTAGGTAAAATTGTGGAAAATACTTTGTAATAGCAAACATGGCAATATACCGTTCCTTCCAGGTATGGATTTTATTGTGTTTAAAACAAGTACATACAATGTGCCTGATTTATTAAAGAAATGTGCATACCCTGCCACATTTATATGCCTGCAAACTTGGTCGAACTACCAAAGAATATTCTCAGATTATTTTCTATGTGCATGCCATACGCCTATGCACAAAACAGTGATAGCATACATAATGCTTATTTATTAACAAATGTGGTTTGCTTAGCTGCACATGCTCTAGTTTCTGAATGTATGCTAGAAAAGGTATGGAATCCTGAAATAGGATTTTCCTCTGATGTCTATCATATATCTGTAATCGATTTTGTATACATATTTTATACAGAAAAAAGTACTGCATGAAGTGTACTAAACAATTGAAGAAGATTGTAAAAAAGGCTGTAAGTGTATGCTTTGTGGGGTATTACTGTGCGCATGCACATCCAGGCATGCTTTGGCCATGACAAGCACACATACATGATTTCATATGCTTCTGCTCGTGATTTGTTTAACTGTTGTAATGATTAGTGCTGAGTAAATCCAGCAAAGTTCGGTTCTCTGGATGTTGGCCCAATCTAGCGGAAAATCCACCAGGGCATCCAGTGAAGTATTTTATTCCTTGGACTTTATGAATAATTTTTACTTTACCATATATACAGTATATCACAGAAGTGAGTACACCCCTCACATTTGGCGACAAAATCGCACCATACAACCGATTGGTGGCAATAGAGCCACTGATCGGTTGTATGTGAAACAGCCGTTAACGGCTGTAAAAACGAGCGGGTCTTTCCTGCAGGAAAAAAATGCCAAAATGCAAGCCGCTGATGCAAGTCTGCCGTCCGTCCGTTTTTTCTTAATGTGTGGACGGCAGGAGGTTAATGTCTAAACCGCTGGCAACAAAAGTAAGTACACCCCTAAGTGAAAATGTCCAAATTGGGCCCAATTAGCCATTTTCCCTCCCCGGTGTCATATGACTCGTTAGTGTTACAAGGTCTTAGGTGTGAATAGGGAGCGGGTGTGTTAAATTTGGTGTTATCGCTCTCACTCTCTCATACTGGTCACCGGAAGTTCAACATGGCACCTCATGGCAAAGAACTCTCTGAGGATCTGAAAAAAGAATTGTAGCTCTACATAAAGATGGCCTAAGCTATAAGAAGATTGCCAAGACCCTGAAACTGAGCTGCAGCACGGTGGCCAAGACCATACAGCGGTTTAACAGGACAGGTTCCATTCAGAACAGGCCTCGCCGTGGTCGACCAAAGAAGTTGAGTGCACGTGCTCAGCGTCATATCCAGAGGTTTTCTTTGGAAAATAGACGTATGAGTGCTGCCAGCATTGCTGCAGAGGTTGAAGGGGTGGGGGGTCAGCCTGTCATACGCCACACATTGCATCAAATTGGTCTGCACGGCTATTGTCCCAGAAGGAAGCCTCTTCTAAAGATGATGCACAAGAAAGCCCGCAAACAGTTTGCTGAAGACAAGCAGACTAAGGACATGGATTACTGGAACCATGTCCTGTGGTCTGATGAGACCAAGATAAACATTTTTGGTTCAGATGGTGTCAAGCGTGTGTGGCGGCAACCAGGTGAGGAGTACAAAGACAAGTGTGTCTTGCCTACAGTCATGCATGGTGGTAGGAGTGTCATGGTCTGGGGCTGCATGAGTGCTGCCAGTACTGGGGAGCTACAGTTCATTGAGGGAACCATGAATGCCAACATGTACTGTAACATACTGAAGCAGAGCATGATCCCCTCCCTTCGGAGACTGGGCCGCAGGGCAGTAGTCCAACATAACGATCCCAAACACACCTCCAAGATGACCACTGCCTTGCTAAAGAAGCTGAGGGTAAAGGTGATGGACTGGCCAAGCATGTCTCCAGACCTAAACCCTATTGAGCATCTGTGGGGCATCCTCAAACTGAAGGTGGGGGAGCGCAAGGTCTCTAACATCCACCAGCTCCGTGATATCATCATGGAGGAGTGGAAGAGAACTCCAGTGGCAACCTTTGAAGCTCTGGTGAACTACATGCCCAAGAGGGTTAAGGTAGTGCTGGAAAATAATGGTGGCCACACAAAATATTGACACTTTGGGCCCAATTTTGTTGCCAGTAGTTTAGACATTAATGGCTGTGTGTTGAGTTATTTTGTGGGGACAGCAAATGTACACTGATATACAAGCTGTACACTCACTGCTTTATATTGTAGCAAAGTGTCATTTCTTTAAAGCCGTCACATGAAATTATATAATAAAATATTTTTTTAAATGTGAGTGGTGTACTCACTTTTGTGAGATATAGTAAGTGCAATGTATGAAAAGATTTGTATGTATATAAATACCCAGGATTAGACATCCAGCAGTCTACTGTTTTAACTTATATACCAACAAAAAATAGATGGGGCTTTCAAGGTGACTACTAAGGAATACAGGGGAATGAATCCAAAAAAATGTCAAATAAAACATATAGATAGTAAAATTCACTTTTTAAAAGCATGCAATAATGTTAAAAGTCACATAAAAAAAACAATAGCACTAGATGTGTCACCTCATCACAGTATAAAAATATTGCCAGTAATAGCAGGTATAGAGTTGGTCCCGAACTTGATGCTGCAGTGTATCAACAGATCAATTTAACCCACCCAAACATCGTTCATAATTCATCTTCACAGTGACAGCAGGAAGATAAATCTTGATAAAGTTACCCTCTTTCAAAAAGTTTTCTCAATCTCCACTTGTTCCTGTTGTAAGAGACAGTGGCACTATCTGACAGCACAAATCTTTCATTCGAATGTAAAGATATTATAGTTTAGGAACATGAGGAGCTGTATGAAAATTACAAACGTTTTGCATGTGATGAGAAGTTAGGGTTAGAAGGAAAGAACTGACGTCACAATTTCTGGTTAGTGGTGGTGGTGGTAGCACGTATAGCAATTTTACAGCTGGAAAAGGTTAGTATACAGTAAGCAGTAGTAATTTTTGTACTACTATTATCACCAATTACAAAGAACATTATACAAATGTTGATTAAGATAGGTAGAAGCAGATGTTGTTTTCTATGGGCAATTTGTGGACCTCCTGTTTAGCAGACATGGCTGCTGTGACTATGAAAATGCTGACAGTGGAGAATTCTAGTAACTGAAGAGAAAAACAACCTGCTGGAAAAATGTTTTAAACCTGCCCAACAACAGTGAGGCATCTTATGTAACCAATAAATAAAAACTTGAAAAGGTTCACATTATTCCTGCAATGCCCTCTTTTAAACAAACTGACCTGTTGTTCCTCTCACTGTTGTGACGTAGCATCTAACAAACCCAGAAGTTTGTGGAATGTGAAAACTCTTTGGGAAGCTTTGCTCTGCAATAGAGCAAAGATTCCCCAGACAGGCACTGGGACAGGTAAATATAACATCTCTATAATTTCATCTACAAAGTTGCTTTAAAAAGACTATAAAAATATTGGATTGTAAAGAATCCCCTTACATACTGTATATACTAAATATAGCTATAACATTTTAAACACATATATAAAAAAAAAATCAATGATGTCCGATCAGTTGCTTAAATTGCAGGTTTATTTTTACAATTAGCTTTTCCACTTACTACTAATTAAATCATGCATACTGGTAATGGCTAAATGTGTGTCTTTTATTTGTTTTTAATCTGTTTCCTGTTAACATGAGTTATCTGTTTACTTATAAGATCATTTTTATTTTCCACTTTATTGTAAGGGTTGCATGGTAAAACTGTAGTGATCATTTTGGAAAGCGGCCCCTGGTGTTTATATGGAGAATCGGTTCCACTTCCAACAAGAGATCTGAAACAAAAGTACGAGACTATATGATCACAGATTTCTGTTGTCAAGTCATGTCATGTTTGTCTATATTTTTTCTTTTAAAAACTAGAGGTTTTTCTATTATTTCAGAGTACTTAAAGTGTTTATCTAGCCAAAACCTTGTATTTTTGTTTTTGATAGAGTAGGAAAGGATTAGAACCCTCTGTCAAGAGTGTAAATCTTCTAATTTCCCCCCCCCCCCCAAATAAATAAATAAATAAATAAAAGGTTTTGGCTATACATACACTTTAACTTGCATGTCCCAATTCATGTATTAGCTAATATGTATGATTTCATACTTTGAAACAAAATTCACAAATGATTTGCCCAGTTGTATCCCATATATGTTAACGTGGAACTAAAGTCAGTTAAAAGCCTGTGTCCTCCTATCAAATTGTGCAGTATATTCAAATGAGTTAAGATTCATAAAAGGAACCCCTGAAATACAAGTCATCCTGAATTGAGAAAGCTAGTCAGATGACCAGCAAAACAACTTCAAGAAAAATGCAGCAAGTGCAGTTGCCTTGATTTATTTTTTTACATTTAAAAAATGACCTGGGTGAATGAGAACTCATGAAATACTTGTCTAGGAAAAAAGATCTGCTCCAGCATTCAATAGCAGCCAATCATATGACCAAGGCATTTGGTCACGTAATCTCTTCTAAAGTCATTTCTAAAAAACAGATATGTATTTCAGGGGTTTACTTAGCATATCTAAATGTAAAGCAAAGGTATCTCTGGGGGTAAGTTTACTTTAACTCCTCTTTAACACATTGAATTGCTGGGATAGCAGATATGGTAGTACAAAGATATTGTCAGGAGAATTTATTAAAACTGGAGCCGACAAAACCTGGAGCAGCTGTGCACAGCAATCAATCCAATTTGCTCTTTCATTTTCAAAGCTTAACTGAACAGACTGGAGAAACTGATTGGTTGCCATGGGCAACTGCTCCAGATTCTGCCTGCTCCAGTTTTGATAAATTTGCCTCTGTATGTTTTCAGTTATCATTGTCTCACATACTATATCAAGCTCGACAGAAAACGCAACTATTACTTTTTCCATTCTCTATTAAGATATTGGATATCTGGGATAGCAGATAATGTACTACAAATACTTTGTTTGCAGTTATCATTGTCTCACATACAATAGCATGTTTAACTTAAAGAGCCACTGTCACTTTGCCAATCCAGGGCAAAGTGACAGCTTCTGTGTAAAGCCTCTCCCCCTTTCTAACCTACTGATACAAACGTTTCCAGGTAGAGCTGCTGCCTATAATGATTAATCAGGTTTAATTTGATATAACATGCAAAATTATTCAAGGAAGCTGATCAATCAGTATGGACAGCAAATCTGTTTTTCTTCCTATTCCCCTTTCTCCAGCAAAGCTGCCCTAAAATATAAGAGTATGAGGCTGCTCTGATGCTGTGGGAAAACAGAGAGTACATGTTATGGTACAACATATAAAAACAAAATGCCCTAATTGAGTTGCCTTCTCTATATTCAAAGATGGTTAAATCCACTGCAGAGAGAGAGACGGGATGGCTGGTTATTATCTGACTGTCACGCTTGGGGTGACCAAATACATTAAATTCTGATTCTTCAAACACTGTACAGTTTCCTTTAAGTTTACCAAAACTATCATGGTTATTCAAAAGGCTAAAGTGTTTGGACAATTCAGCTCACTTTCCAGTTCAGCTATGTTGTCCTAAATTGTTCACTTCTCCTGCCTTCCTCCAAACTCTTCACCCTTTAGTGAATAACCCTGTATGTAATATGAGGACAAACCTAAACAATTCATTCAGTTTGTATCTAATGCACAGGCCCATACATTACATAGTTGTTGGTAGATCTGAATTAGATTGTACAATCACATTGTAAAGTATATGGTCATCTTTACTCCTGACTGTGAAACAACCACAATACTTAAAAGCAATGCAAGGAAGAAACAGAAAAAGATATATTACAGTGTTTTGGTGCTACCTGATCCTAAGCTGGTTATACATGCCTTGAAGTTTAGCCAATTCAGCCCTTTCGGTACCACCCAGCTTGATAAAACTCAACCAAAAAATTAAATGGAGCCGGGTGAACTTTGTCAGTTAAACAGGGAATGCACCCAGTCTGATGCAGTCATTGTTCATGTATTCAGGCAGCTGTGGGTGCTGGCTATCGGAATACTATAGCCAACACTGGGGATTCCTCCATCCACGCTGTTTCGTGTATATGGAGGAATTTAATGATTTCTCTTGTTTAACCTGTGAGGCTGAATGAGAGAAATCTAGCTGTGTTTGGCTAGCTTCATCCTGCTGTTTGGCTACTGGCCTGCAAGTGCCTTTGCAAATTGTCAGGTTGTTAAGGTGATCTAATGACTTCATTACTTTCTGTCTAACCGAACCAAGTAAAAGTATGCAGATCAGTGCTCTAACTTTTCCTTGACTTGACTTGACACATTAAAATATCAATGCCAGAGGCATCCAGAGTGTTAGCATTTCCAAAACGTGTTAAGCAATGGCAGGCTAAATATATCGCTAAAGATTTTCTTAAATCAAATTTACACTTTTCAGAGGTTTTTTTCATTATTAACAATAATGTCCACTTTTTGATTTTATGCATTTAAGAGGTACATGTCTTAAATATCTTATATACCATGGGATCAAGATAATCTCATATTTATGACACCCTTTTATGAAGCAATTTATAATATATATATATATGGTTGTATATTGACTGTTATTTTAGATCCTATGGTTGTTCTTTACGGACAAGATTTCTATGTGGGCAGAGACAGTTTAGTAGAAACGAAATGCATGAAAGACAAAGTGAAGCAGCACTCTAGAGGGTTAACACTGTAGCATATGAAAACTCTTTCAGAAATGCAACTCACACATACCCATTCATTTTTTTGTCTGCAGATGAAGGGGGAGATGGAAGATTAGAATTTGCTGGGTGGATAGCTATCCAATGAACCCTGCCAGTGTATCCAGGAATGTTTGGAGTGCTAAAAAGGAAAAAGTAAATAGCATTAGTAATGCCAAAGACAATGAGATGCCATCACTGTCAAGGTTATACAACAAAGAAGTAAACAAACACCCTAATTAATTGTGCTTTAAATATTTATTTTTTTAAATTATTATTATTATATGTATAATTTGACAAAATAAAAGAGATCTTGGAACACTGCACGGTTTAAATAAATAATAGAAAAGTAAAAAACACAAAAGCTGAACATGTTTTTTTATATCTGGTAATCTTGGCATAAGAATTAAAGTATGTGATTACTAAAGAATGCCTGTAAATAAATATTAAGGCAGACCTGAAAAAGAAGAAAAAAAAAACAGCCATTATTGCTATTACATTAAAGCTAAAGTTATATAGTAAGCTAAGCTACTATACTGTATATTTCACATAAAGAAAAATACCAGGTGCATTTTTTTTTTCCTTACTTTATCAGACAATATGCTACAAAATACCAAGCCTTCAGAGCAAATCAAGAGTGTATGGAGAACATTAGAAAATCTATCCAATTATCTCAAGTTGGGCTTAAAGCCAAGGTTCTCACCCAGCTCTGAAATTAATTAGCATTTTTGTCTTTAGGATTCTGGATAAACTTCCAGGGGCATGGAGTTTGTACAATGTGTGGGTTTATTTATTTTATTTATTACAGGTATTTTATAGCGCCAACAATTTACGCAGCACTTTACATAGTTGCACATTCACATCAGTCCCCACCCTCAAGGAGCTTAAAACCTCACATGCATACAGACAGGGACAATTTAGACAGGAGCCAATTAACCTACAGCATGTCTTTGGAGTGTGGGTGGAAACCAGAGTACCCGGGGGAACAGGGAGAACATGCAAACTCCTTGCAGATTCAAACCGGGGACCCCCAGTGCTGCAAGGCAGAAGCGCTAACTACTACGCCACTGTGCTGCCATGGACTGTGCTGCTTACTGGTCAATTGGCTACCACCTAAAAATAGGCCCTAAAGTATGAATGCATGTGTATGACTGTGGTAGAGGTCTTCAGCTGTTAGTTCCTTCTGGGACATGAGACAGATGTAACAAATACATAATTCTCCCTGAAGTGCAACAGGAATGATGGTTATTGCTGTATAAATGGGTTAACAGGGCCGGATTTATACTTTTTTTCTGTAATTTGAGGCTGTTGGAATAAGTAAGGTTTAACCATGAATTATCAAAGTTCCTCAGGTTTTGCCCCCTCAAACCTCTGGTATGGCATCTATCAAATATGTCAGCTCAAACTTGGTGTAATTGCCTTTTTTACCATTGAGTATTTCAGTATACAGTAATGACTTTGTGGGCAGTTGAATACCTTGTTACTGCATTGCACATTTATTTAAATTGTAAACTGCCTTTAAGAAAAAAAAAACCATGTTCTCTTTATAGTGTAGCATTCTTGAGCCTCAAGGGCATATAAGAGACCCCAGAGGCAGGATGGGCTAGCATTTCAGCGCAGGGTCTGGTCCTTGGCAATAGTGGAGAATTGTGAACAGATGGGTACCAGTGACATTGATATGCAAAGGAGTTTAAAGACTCTCATTCAACTTTCCTGGGAGAGAGGGCGAAGGGAAGACACTCATGAACATGGCAAATGCCAGAAAAGAGAAACAGCTTTCACAAACAGAAAGCACAGCATTCTGTGAAATCAGCTTCTGGCTGTAAGATACTGAATGATTCAGCTATGGACTCCTTGGAGAGAAATCACAATACTTCTGTCTAGGATCAAGCTTCTGCCCAGCTCCTCAGGTACCTCAGTTAGGTTAAAGTTCCTCCATCATATCTCAGTGTTCTGGCTCAATAGGGGACTGAGCCCAGACCTCGGTCCAAACACATGGTCATCCTCCTCAGACAGCAGGCCTTGGAGGATCAGACATGCAACTGCATTCCACCCAGGCAGGAGGCCCAGGGAAGACTGACTTCCCAAGGTTACTCCTGAATATTTATACCCTTTCCCTGCCTGCAATACTGGCATTAAACCTCCTGCTGGTTGGACAGGGAGATATACATATTCATAAATCTGATTATTGCAGGCAGTAGCAAGCAGAGGCAAACAATATTAGGTGCTTAGGACAGATTCCAGAAAGGAACTATCAATCAGACTCAGCCTGGCAACTTCTAAATTTAAAAAAGACACTCCTGCTCAGGGCAGGATGGCTATAATAAAAAATCTGTTTTAGTGTAATATCACATAGACACAGAATTTATTGCTGCATTTATGTTAATCGGAACTTAGACTGCATTAGGAAAATGGGTTTATGGAACATACACACACAACAACCACCAATGCCAGCTTCAGTGACTTTTGTTCAGTGCTCTGTTTCATGACCACACATACTTCCTGCTGAGTTTCTGCAAATAGCCCAATAAATGGTTAAATCCCTCAACTTCTTGCACTGGAATGACAGTGCTTTACACACACTTGTGCAGTACTGGCTCCTCCTCACACAATGTTCACAGCGTTAACAAAATATTTTTCAGTGAACCATAAGTGAAAATAAGATATGTATGGAATCAGCTCTTTCTCTTAGTACATTTATCATGAAGCCGGGACATTAAACATGTCTAAACCTAAAAACAAAAAAAATTGTATATTGCAGCTTACCAGTCCTTAGATGTGGTTGCTGCATCAGTTTTTTAGCTAGGGCTGAAGTCAGACCGACAATTGTCTTGTCACAAATCCCCCTCTGAACTTCTGTTTCAGACTAACATGATCCCTTTATTCCTATGCCTAATGCAGTCAAAAATCCCAGAGTTTCCCCTCTTTTACATTTTATCATAATATAAAACATCATTATATCATTATCCGTGCACAGATCCTCTGCTGATTGGAATGGTTGTCACTTATAAGACATATGTGCCCATTCAGTTTTTTTCTCCATCTTGTAATGGAGGAAAAGCTGAACTAATGGACCTATGTTCGGATGTTGCCTCTAAACCGTCATGATCAGGTCGACTAAAACAGAACTCTCCTACATTTTACATATGCTGTGTAACCTGCCATGGATGGAGCGCTGACTGTTAATTACAGGCAGCACTCCATCCAGCTTTTGACAGGTAGTTAGGTTACACAGCAGCGGGCTTCCCCGCTGCTTGTGTAACCTCACAATTAAAGCCAGAGCTGTCACAGCCTCTACTCTTTGTCAGAGGCGTGAGTTCTGTGGATGGCTTGGACCAATGGCAAAGCACCATTGGTCCAAACTGTCCAATCAAAAAAAGAAAAACCCCCCCACTGAGACCATCGATCTCGATGCCTCAGCAGCGATGAGCAAGTGAGGGACAGGGAGGCTCATCCCTGTCTCCTCCCTTCCTCCTTTACACTAGCTTGGGGATGGGGCGGGGATTCGCCAGACAGGGGGCGGGGCTTGGGGAATCGCCAGCCA